TGAAAAAATGCAAGATTTTTCAACTTTTTTGCAGGTCCGGGGTCATGAATTTTTTCAAAAATCACCACCTCCTTATTTTCAAAAAATCAGCATAAATTTCACCGAAACGACCCGAAATGGCGTTCAGAACGTATCTTGAGGCTTTTTAGGTTGTTTTGAGTAAAAAAAATTTTTGAAAAATTTCAAGGTTTTTCAACTTTTTTGCAGGTCCGGGGTCATGAATTTTTTCAAAAATCACCAACTCCTTATTTTCAAAAAATCAGCATAGATTTCACCGAAACAACCCGAAATTGCATTCAGAACGTATTTTGAGGCTTTTTAGATTGTTTCGAGTAAAAAAAATTTTTTCAAAATTGTCAAGGTTTTTCAACTTTTTTGCAGGTCCGGGGTCATGAATTTTTTCAAAAATCAACAACTCCTTATTTTCAAAAAATCAGCATAAATTTCACCGAAACGACCTGAAATGGCGTTCAGAACGTATCTTGCGGCTTTTTAGGTTGTTTTGATTAAAAAATTTTTTGAAAAATTTCAGGATTTTTCAACTTTTTTGCAGGTCCAGGGTCATGAATTTTTTCAAAAATCACAAAGTCCTTATTTTCCTAAAATCATCAGAAATTTCAGCGAAAAGACCCGAAATGGCGTTCAGAACGTATCTTGAGGCTTTTTAGGTTGTTTCGAGTAAGAAAAGATTTTTGAAAAATTTCAAGATTTTTCAACTTTTTTGCAGGTCCGGGGTCATGATTTTTTTCAAAAATCACAAAGTCCTTATTTTCAAAAGATCAGCATAAATTTCACCGAAACGACCTGAAATGGCGTTTAGAACGTATCTTGCGGCTTTTTAGGTTGTTTTGAGTAAAAAAAATTTTTTGAAAAATTTCAGGATTTTTCAACTTTTTTGCAGGTCCGGGGTCATGAATTTTTTCAAAAATCACCAACTCCTTATTAAAAAAATCAGCATAAATTTCACCGAAACGACCCGAAATGGCGTTCAGAACGTATCTTGAGGCATTTTAGGTTGTTTTGAGTAAAAAAAATTTTTGAAAAGTTTCAAGGTTTTTAAACTTTTTTGCAGGTCTGGGGTCATGAATTTTTTCAAAAATCACCAACTCCTTATTTTCAAAAAATCAGCATAAATTTCACCGAAACGACCCGAAATGGCGTTCAGAATGTATCTTGAGGCATTTTAGGTTGTTTCGAGTAAAAAAAATTTTTGAAAAATTTCAAGGTTTTTCAACTTTTTTGCAGGTCCGGGGTCATGAATTTTTTCAAAAATCACAAAGTCCTTATTTTCCTAAAATCATCATAAATTTCACCGAAAAGACCCGAAATCGCGTCCAGAACGTATCTTGAGGCTTTTTAGGTTGTTTCGAGTAAGAAAAGATTTTTGAAAAATTTCAAGATTTTTCAACTTTTTTGCAGGTCCGGGGTCATGATTTTTTTCAAAAATCACAAAGTCCTTATTTTCAAAAGATCAGCATAAATTTCACCGAAACGACCTGAAATGGCGTTCAGAACGTATCTTGCGGCTTTTTAGGTTGTTTTGAGTAAAAAAATTTTTTTGAAAAATTTCAGGATTTTTCAACTTTTTTGCAAGTCCGGGGTCATAAATTTTTTCAAACATCACCAACTCCTTATTTTAAAAAATCAGCATAAATTTCACTGAAACGACCCGAAATGGCGTTCAGAACGTATCTTGAGGCATTTTAGGTTGTTTCGAGTAAAAAAAATTTTTTGAAAAATTTCAAGGTTTTTCAACTTTTTTGCAGGTCCGGGGTCATGAATTTTTTCAAAAATCACAAAGTCCTTATTTTCAAAAAATCAGCATAAATTTCACTGAAACGACCCGAAATGGCGTTCAGAACATATATTGCGGCTTTTTAGGTTTTTTTGAGTAAAAAAATTTTTTTTAAAAATTTCAAGATTTTTCAACTTTTTTGCAGGTCCGGGGTCATGATTTTTTTCAAAAATCACAAAGTTCTTATTTTCAAAAAATCAGCATAAATTTCACCGAAACGACCCGAAATGGCGTTCAGAACGTATCTTGCCGCTTTTTAGGTTGTTTTGATTAAAAAAATTTTTCTGAAAAATTTCAAGATTTTTCAACTTTTTTGTAGGTCCGGGGTCATGAATTTTTTCAAAAATCACCAACTCGTTATTTTCAAAAAATCAGGATAAATTTCACGGAAACGACTTGAAATGGCGTTCAGAACGTATCTTGAGGCTTTTTAGGTTGTTTCGAGTAAAAAAAATTTTTTCAAACATTCCAAGTTTTTTCAACTTTTTTGCAGGTCTGGGGTCATGACTTTTTTCAAAAATCACAAAGTCATTATTCTCCTAAAATCATCATAAATTTCACCGAAAAGACCCGAAACGGCGTTCAGAACGTATCTTGCGGCTTTTTAGGTTGTTTCGAGTAAAAAAAATTTTTTGAAAAATTTCAAGATTTTTCAACTTTTTCGCTGGCCCGGGGTCATGAATTTTTTTAAAAATCACAAAGTCCTTATTTTCTAGAAATCAGCATAAATTTCACCGAAACGATCCGAAATGGCGTTCAGAACATATCTTGAGGCTTTTTAGGTTGTTTCGAGTAAAAAAAATTTTCAAGATTTTTCAACTTTTTTGCATGTCCGGGGTCATGAATTTTTTCAAAAATCACCAACTCCTTATTTTCAAAATATCAGCATAAATTTCACCAAATGACCCGAAATGGCGTTCAAAACGTATCTTGAGGCTTTTTAGGTTGTTTCGAGTAAAAAAAAATTTTTACAAAATTTCAAATACCGCTTGCATCAAACTTGCCAGCAAAAGTACTGTTATTGTGGATCTACAGCACTAATCATATCCTTTTCACGTTGATTGATTCTGCCTAATTGATTACAATATCTTGATTTGTTTATTTTTTAACTCAATGACGTCAAACACTAGACACATAAACCCGACATATAAAACACAACTCATTTAAGTTCATTTTTACCTTATTAGATCTTAGGTGATAAACTTGTTAAACCGTTGATATGTAATGTACTTTATTATTCTATTTTTTGTGGACACAGTATTTATTATCTCGTTGAACAGTGCAGAAGCGAGCTCCTAACCTTTGTGGCAGCTATTGAACAAGCATTAGAATTTATGAAAGTTTGTGACGTCACCCTAATGTATCTAAGTGATTGTTCAGTCAGCAGTGGTTGTGCAACATGTCCTCGTTTCATATTTCTGGAAACAAGGGTATCGTTTCCGAAATGCACGGGGGCTGCTGTGTCTCGATGTGCAGGTACCGCGATATTGCGACTTCACGCAAACTCGGAACACAGTAGTCTCCTTGGTGTTTCCAAACGAAACGATGCCTTTTTGTAATTCCAAGCACGAGGAGTCAATGGCTCGTATACCTATTGTAATTTCCACCGCTTCCCTTGGTGACCGATCATCAAGATTTAAGGCTCCTAGACCAAGACCTATTGATATTGTATAGAAAAACCTGCCCAGGCGAGTATGCTCAAAGTTCAACGAGACAGTGTCTTTAAATAAATTAAATATAATTAAAGTAAGATCAGATTATTTACATTATTTAATCGGAATATAGAACGTCCATGTTAATATTTATGGATTGTCATAAGTCAACTGTATCATCTAGCTATGGATATTTTAGTGAAGCATTTTCAGTGGACCTAGCTTTTAAATTTTAGATTGCTAAATGGCCAAGGATGCGTTAGGTGGCATGCATTAATGGGTTGACCCAAGGTTTATCTCATGACGCTGGGAATAATTTATGTTACGGTTCAAGCATAACTTCCAATTAGGCCAAGAATATAATTGTATATAATTGTAGTATATATGTGAAACAAAAAATCGAAGTATTCATGATGGCACGACCTCGTGATATGTTTTACGTACAAGGACGTTTTAGCAAATAACAAATTATTTCTTCGTTGTTGGGCAGTAATTATCACTTAGATATTTGCGTTATAGATGGGGACTAGCATTTAAGTCTTTTTCCAAAATGGGTTTATCCAAAAATTGAGGGCATGCTAGAAAGCAGTTTTATGCGGAGCGGGCTATGAAGCATGAACATAACGGTGTTTTTGTTTTGGGGGAGGGCACCATATTTTGCCATGATATATTACTCCTCGACTTGTCTTCTGTTTTTGCTTTTCAAAATAGCTGCTTGCTCATATTTGAACTGAACGTTATCTTTTAATGAAGAGAATTCGATATCTCTTGCTGCTGCGTTTTTGGCAATGCGTAGCATTCTAATAACTTTTCATATGTTACTCAACTACAGTCTTTTGTCAGCCAAGAGAACAAAATTAAATAATCAAGCAAGATAGGGTCTTTTTCGCTCTATTTTGTGTTCTTTCAGAAAGCAAATAGCTATCCAAGGAAACGCAAGACAACAAGTCATACGTGGGGTGAAAATTTCCGAGCCATCCATAAGTAGTAGAAATTAGACATTAACAAACTTTGTTATTGGTTGTTCCCATATTGGTATATTTAAAAGTGCACTCCCGCCCCTTAAGATGACAGGATTATTTGTCCTAAAGTGAAACTAAACATGCACACCTGACCTATTCATTTTACGAATGCTTATCTTATGGTAGTGACCAAAGGGGGATACCCCCAAGTTTCAACAAAACAAGGTATACGACAAAACATGACTCTTCTCTACATAAAGGGTAGGGAACCTCCAATGCCCTTAACACCCTTCTGCTCCTAGTATCAGCGACTCTCAACAGGAAGGTGTCTGTTCTGATATAACCTTTCCGATGATAATTGCAAAGGCAAACATCGTTGTTTTGTGGGTGGGTGGAGAAACCATACATGGTATATAACTTAGTTTTATTTTCCTAGTATTTATAAAGAAAATTTTGTTTTGTTTATTTAGAAACAAGAGGATGTTTAGCTCAAATGTTATGGTGATAGAATTGAAACTATTGCTCTTTTTAGCATCTGCTGTCATATGTCAGTCTGTTTTTTAAGTCTTAACCTTCTAGTCTTAGGTCCTGAAGGCACTTTGTCGCGTAACTGGGTGACGAGTATGCTTTGAGATTGTGATAAGTGTAGGCAAGGTTTCCATCAGAAACATTTGCTATACAGTAATCTTGACTGTATTTGTATACATTTTGTTTGAATGATGCACACTGTGGACAAAGGAGATTTTCTAATTCATTATTTCATATATATATATAATTAATTGTTAACAAATGATGCGAGTAAAATGTTTTTTTAAATTTTGGTGATAAAATTCTATGGTTGTATGTACATAGCCTTAACAACAACTGCGCGCGATAGGCACTGAATCAGAATTTACTTATCTTTCTCCTTGCCGGTCGGTTCATTACGACACTCAAACAAAAACAATTACTAATGACCTCATAAAATGTCGAAAATGTCAAAATTACAGAGACATCTAATGTTTTCAGAGACTTTTCAAGAACGCCTTTTACGCGGTACCTGGCCACTAGTGTAAATTTCTGCGACATCAAACCTGTATGTTGCCTTTAGCATACATCGGTAAACAAAACTTCTTTAATTATTTGCAAGAATCTGAACTGAAGTATTGTTTCCACTTTTCTATAAACTTTGACTTGATGCTTTTAATTCTAGATTCCTGCACTCTACTCATTGCAGTTGCCGCAGGTTATGGCTGGGGCTTTTCTGATGGTATGCTAGTGACCTTTGAAAGTACTTTAAACATTTGTGAGAGTCTGTTATAGGTGCAGGAATAAATTCTTTTGCTAGATAGCTGCATATCCTAAGCAATAGTTGGCTGGCTTTGAATAACACTTGTTATGCAAAGGATCCTTTATGATTTTTTAAATTATTTTGGAAATTAACGTCCACAAGCCTGAATGCAAAATAAAACATTTTTCTTTATTTGCTTTAGTTTGTCATGTAGTGCCTGTGTAATACTGTCAAGGGAAATCTTCAAGCGATTTTATTAAAATTCTTGCTTGATTTTTTGGACAATGTCAGATTTGTCTTTGTTATGCTTCATGTTTTTCAAGTGGGACGCTTGAATTGATTTCTTTGTTTGCTTTTACTAGCTAGAGGTGGTTAAACTTCTCTAACTTCGCTGCATGTCTTATCTGTCAAGTTGGTAATATTTTTTTCTGTATTTTGTATTTTAGCAGATGGTTTGGTGATGTCTGATAGTATTCTAGACTTCATTGGTGAATTGCGGCTACAAAACGAAAGTGAATGGATCTCCGTTACAGAGGCCGTGAAAAAATTTTTCTTGGATAAGGTTCCTTGGAGAGCGTCTAGAGGTCTGAGCACGAGTAATGCTGGTACGTCACTTCCGAATTGATTTTCTTTGCAAATGGGCTCACATGTGATAGTTCGACTTTTTTGTCAAATCCACAGTGCTGTTAAGTAAAAATACAGCACTTGGTGTTGTGATGCTTATCAAAGCTCAGATAGCTCCACGATCGTGACAATTTAATTCTCGGTAGATTATGACAATATCAACGATTATGCCAAATTAATTATGCCGTAATTTCAGGCCCTAAACGTTTGCAGTTGTATAAACATTAGCGTTTCCCTTGAAATTTGCGATGTGTTTTGCCAGTTTCTTAGCCTTTCTTCGTTTTACACTGTTTACAGCGATTTTCCAGTCAAGCGTCAGTCGATTTGAGCTAGGATCTGTTGCCTGGACGCCTACAGGGTTTCCTGCAGGTATCACGCCTTGGACAGCAGCATGGCAAGATAGATCAAAACCTTACCTGACTATTCGTCTCAAAGGTACTGTTGCAACATGTTAACCTCTTTTCCCCTCCAAGAGTCTCAACTCGCTTAAGAAAACGTTCACGAGTTTCGGTCCTTGTAGGGAGCCTCCATCTGTCAAATCAAATCAAACAATTCATTGGCTGAAATCATCGAATTAGTTCCAGAAGTTCTTCCTAATTCTTATTGAAAGTGAAGAAATCCCCCAGATTTGTTCTTGTCCATCGCCAGTTTTTACTGACGTCAACCACAAATTGATATGGTACTGATTTTATTAGAAGAAAAATCCCAGTATTAGAGTGACTACGTAATTACATCAAATGAGTATGCAATTGGAATACCACAAAAAGCTCAACTTACGTTTCCTTACATTTTCAAATTCATTACCTTTTTTGATACGGTGTCACCAACATTCAGAAAGGACAGTTAAAAGAAATATGCTAAAACCTCCGGCTAGTTAGATCTTTATCATTGGAAATGTTAATGCATGATTAGGAAGATATTAAAAAAGTTTCGAACTTGCTTTTCAGGACAACTCTAATTTTTTAGTTTCCGTCTCCTATTTTAAAAATTCAACTACATACAATTTATCAGTTACATTAATACAATACTACACACAATACAAATTAAGCACAAATCTAAAAACAACAGAGAAATAATAGCATACATATCAAATTGTATGAAGGGGAATTCCTTGAGGAGGGACTCTCTGAGTAGTTGGGCTAATCGAGGAGAGAGCACCACTTGTTTTAAGATTGAATATGAGTTATCCCTAAACATATTTTAACTTATTTTGAGAGCTTGGTCCATCTATCCTCTTTCCTTTCTTTTTAGACTAAAGATGCACCTAAATTTCTGCTTTTAAGTTATTGTCAAACATAAACGGATTTTTTATTAATGCACTTTTACGTTGTAGTTGATAACTGCACGAAAAATGCTCTTTTTTGGTTTTCTTTATTTGATAAAGTTTATATATATTCTTAACAATATTCGCAATAATTGTTTATCTCTGACTAGAGGTGTCTAGTTTGATTTTCGTAACGAGAAATTGATTAATCGTTTGCAATTTTCATTGTCCTAAAGCTTTTGTCCTAACGGTGACAACACTTTTTAATCATTGCTTTTCAGATGAAACAACTTCAACATTTGATTCAGTGGCATACTCTACGTCTTTAGAAGATACTTCGTTACAAGAATATTGCAGATTGGTGAGCTATTCCTATAGCTTGAATTTTTGTTATAGCTTGAAGTTTTTAACTTATTTGAAAATACACCCACTGTTGATGACAGTAATGATTTTATTTCCACATAACATATATGATTTCCATTTTCAGATTAAGCGGTACAGAAATGTGCTGTTCATGACTGACGACACGATAGAGGCTAAGCATTTCATTTCCTGCTTCTCCCATTGGCTCAAGGTATGTTGTCTACAGTATCCTCCGTATGATATCGACCGGTAAGAAAGCAGTTAATGTATGTTGCTTAGAAAGTCGTTTTCCCTGGACTTTACTTTACTTTCATTTTACATTAACTTTACTTTCAATGATGTAGAGGATTTTCTAAGTGCATATCGTCCTTTGGGTTGTCTCATTATAACAGGTTGCATTAATTTGATTAATAATGAATTTTCTACTTTTCATGTCTGTTGTTTGTTCCCCTGGATAGAATAAAAAATTATTTTGTTTGGATATTTTCCATATGAAAACTTGCTTAAAAATAAGCTCACCGTGATAGAAAATTTGTTTTCACCAAATTCACCAAACGTAAAGAAAATTTGTTTCCTATTCATTTCCCAAATCTGAAATTTTCAGCGTAAGTAATATTACATAGTATCATATTACATTGCGATTCCTTTTGCGCAGTAAGATATGTATATTTTTGTATAATTGACTCATGGATTATAAGAAGAACACCTTGCGCAGTAAATACTCTAGTGTCTTTAATAGAAGGGCCCCCTTGTATTGACTTCAGAAGAATTTGCCCTCCGCTCTGTCGCTTATTAGTACCCGCCCTTCTATTAAATTTTACAAACCTGTCATGACCAGGACACGCAATTTTCACTTGTCAATAATTCCTCTTGTTATGTTTGTCTATCTTTATCTCTAACCATCTATCCATTATCAAGTAACCAGTGTCACCATCCTAATAATTCCACTGCCTTTTAATTAAAAGATTTACCAACATCCACTCCTTTTATTAGCTCCCCTTTGCCATTGAATTTTACTGACATTTTATTGAAAATTAGCCAACCTGAACATCCCCTTCTATTAGCAACTTTCTTCTATTGAAAACTGGCCGACATGAACACCCCTTTCTATTAGCACCCCTCTTTTATTGAAAACTGGTCGACATGAACACCCCCTTCTATTAACAACCCCTTTCTATTGAAAACTGATCGACATGAACACCCCCTTCTATTAGCAATCCCCTTCTATTGAGAACTGGTCGACATAAACACCCCCTTCTATTAGCAACCCCCTTCTATTGAAAACTGGTCGACATGAACACCCCCTTCTATTAGCATACCCCTTCTATTGAAAACTGGTCGATATGAACACCCCCTTCTATTAGCAATCCCCTTCTATTGAGAACTGGTCAACATAAACACCCTCTTCTATCTATTAGCAACCCCCTTCTATTGAAAACTGGTCGACATGAACACCCCCTTCTATTAGCACACCCTTCTATTGATAACTGGTCGACATGAACACCCCCTTCTATTAGCAATCCCCTTCTATTGAGAACTGGTCGACATAAACACCCCCTTCTATTAGCAACCCCCTTCTATTGAAAACTGGTCGACATGAACACCCCCTTCTATTAGCACACCCTTCTATTGAAAACTGGTCGACATAAACACCCCCTTCTATTACCTCCCCCTTCTATTAGAGATACTAGAGTACGTTTGCAAAGTTCGCTTTCTCATCTAAATGGAAACGAAACAAATGTTTTCCGTTTTCACGTAAGCGTTTATGTGGAAGGGGTTTTAAAGCGTTTGTTACAGGATCTTGTCAGTTGAGATTTTCTTAGAACTCGATAGGAACTCTGCACGAAAGGGCATGTTCACAAATTAAATTTATTTATAATGAGCTATATGCTTTATTATATGCGCACAATTAGCTGAGAATCCCATTTTATTATGAGCTGTATTTTTATACGTATATCCAGTATTGCATGTAACTTGCAAGGATGAAATTTATTTTTCAATCAGACCATGGACGAAATTAGAGGCAAGACAAGTTTTATTGCCAGCGTTGAAGAGAATGAGATTTGCACTGCTCAGGAACTTGTGAAACTGTTACGAGAATATGGTTGGTATCTCCGTAAATTTGTGTTTTATTATGCACCCTTTATATGTCCCATTTATAGGTTTTTACTGGAACTAAATATAGTTTCATTTCAATCCAATGCGTTTCCCATGCCTGATTTTCGCCATACTTTCCGGGCTACTGCGCGAAGTCCAAAAAGACCTTGGAAAATTCCATGTGAGAGTTGTTTATATGCACGAGGGTTTTTGAAAAGGAAAGGTAATAATTTGTTTCTGAAGGCAGATTTGTGATTTGTATTACGTAGACGGGCATAGTAGTTGATTGGAAGCATTTGATTTGGCTAAGCGTTTTTGAAGCACATTTATTTGAGGGATTGTTGTCCGCATGTATAAATTCAAACAGCAGTGAAAGAGTGTATTTTTTACGAACGAATCAACCTTTTCTCAACAAATGCTATTTCCCGATAATCAATGAAAGGACGTACTAGAAATCATAATTACTTTCATGGATTATATTTAAAAATATAGAAATTTTTTCGCAAAAATACAACTCATGCTATGTTTCTGTTATCTGCTAAATACCCTAGCATATATTGCTATATAAGTCGTCATACAAAGTCACATACCATATGTTGACGCACATTTTAACTGTCCTCTAGTTCTCAAACATAACGGGTATGGCTGTTTAATGATCCTGGATCAATCAATGTGTTTCGAAACATCTCAAAGTGTTTTACAAGGAAAGGCATTCGAATTAATTGATATGTTAGGTTGGATTAAATTTGGCTATCTTGCCAGTGATAGGAATTGTAGCTCTCCTGGTGGACATTGGAAATCTTACTTTTTGCGTCTTTGGGAAAAATAATTATGATAAATTGACAAAAATAACTCCAATTCTGGCCTATTACATTTCAGTAAAATGTTAAAAAAATGCTTGAAAATTACGCTATTGTTCCTTTTGCCACATACGGTGCTTGGAAAAAGTTTCTCCATAGCACCCCATTTCCACCTTCAAACGGTGTTGTATTATGTGATCAATGAGCTTAGACGAGTCCATTGCAATGCAGTTTGTTGTCCCTTTTTAGGAGCTTTGGTTGAGGTGAATCGCGAGAGACCGAAGTGCTCAACAATTATTCTGATCGACGTTGATTTCATCCTTAATCGAAAATTATCTTCGGATGTCTTTGTTTGGCTTGGAAAACGTGGAACAGAAGAACCCTTCTATCTAAGCAATGGCATGGAGTGAACAGTCAGCTTTACTATTTGCAAAATGACGTCATCGTACTTGCATATGCAACGAAGACAAGGTAAATAACCCTTACAGTATAGAACAACGGTATGTTAGGTTTCCGCTTTTCCTTGCTATTTGGAGAGTCAAGGTGGTATTAATTGTTGGAAATATCATTTATTTTTTGTCATCAACTGTCTTGCTTAAAGTAAAGGCGATTCCTGTATGCGAGCCGTGCCCATAGGCCAAAGCATGGAAACAAAGGATGGCCAGTTCCTTCAATGCAGACTTCATCACTCCCCCCCCCCCCAAAATGCAGATACTGTTCTATTCTCGTTTTCTTTAGCTTCCCCGTCGTTGTTAGTCCTTCCCTAAATAAAGGATAGAGCCCAACCTTCAGCTTTCAGAACTGCAGCAAAATTGCCTTACCGCGGTCGATAGCCTGAGCTACTAAGGGACATATATTTTGAAGACAGTACAGCTGATGTTATTTACAGCTGCTAACAAACCTTTAAGGCTGATAGAGCGCTATCCACGAGAGCTAGAAAGAAGACAAAAGTTCCATGAGACAAAAATTCCCTTTATTAAATCGAACATCTACCCAATCTTTAGCACCATGTTCCCTGCCAGAGTTTGAAATAACATATCATTTTGAGTAATCCTGCTCATGCGACTAAGAGATGTGGGATCGGCAGAATTCAGCTTTGTATATCGGAAGTAAATTGCTTCAGATCTAGTTTGCCAAAGCAAGAATATTTCAACCCTTTCATACTATGCATGAGTTTTTTGGTCTCAGTTCAAAAATGAACACTTTGAATTTACTCAGATTTTATAGGGACGTTGTGTGTATCAAAACTACTTGTAAAGCAACAATCTTTATATTATTCAGTATTGATTTTTTATCAGTGTTTCTTGCCTATTTGCAGCCTTTTTTCCAGCCATTTGCAGCCAAGATTTTAATACTCTATATTTACTTGTTTTAAGTGCTCATTCTTTTCCAGCATGGACCGATTTGGGCAAGGAATTCATAGATTTTTCAAGTTAATTGATCTCCCACCAACCATGCCTGTTCTTCTGCAACGTTGGCTCCGACAAAAGGCAACACGAAATTCAGAAAGCCGATTAAACTTCAGGTGAATATCTCTGTAGTTTAGTTTTTACACTCACAGGAGTGTTATGGCAGCGAGATTTTTAATAGCCGGGTTATTGGCTCTTTCACTTCTACAAGCTACTTTTTCCAATTTAGTGTTTATTTTTCTATGGGACAACTTTTCATTGTGTGTGAACAGGTGCTTTCATAATTTCGATCTGGCAGAGTCTTCAGATTTTCAGTTTGTGTCTTGTGCCATCTTCAGAGAGCCCTGTCCAGCTATTCACCTGGCACATGACTAATGCGAAATGTAGCACTTGATTTTTATGGCTGCTTAACATTTTCAACAATCAGATTTATACCTTTAATGTCAATCTTGATTTAGATACCTTTCTTACAATCCAATCACACTCCCATGTGACGTTAATTGTCAAGTCACTCACAGTTTCAGAAACGTTTTAAGTTCTTCCCAGTTCACAATCTCTGAATATTGCTTGATCCGTTTTTAGGGAAATTGATAACTGGAGCTCCTGGATAAGCGATGTTTACAGAAGATCTAGAATCGATCTTGAAAAGCTAGACATTAAATTGGATATGCCAGGTTTGTCGTTATTGTGAATCATGTTCATTTTGTTTTCAAAATTTGAAGTTCAGTTTTTGTAGATGCCAAAGGTCGAACCATTCAATTTTGTATCTTAATTTCGTAATTCGTTGTCACTTGTGTAAAGGTTGTTTCATCGTCTATCTGCTTAGGCTCAATGTCACCTGGTGCTGCCATAAAATGCTCAAACACTTGTTTTGATAATGTTGGCAAAACCAAATAAAGTCACACTCAATTTTCTCAGTATCTTCAGTGCCATTTTGGTTTTTACTGAAAAATATATCAAAATAGATTCAAAGCTAACTAGTT